GAAAACAAGACAGACTATATAACAAGTGTGGCATGGAAGTTGGTCATGCAGGTAGGTGTGTATATAGAAGTGCCCTCTATTGGGAATTAGGAAGGACCAGCGTGAACGTTCACCGCTGTGCCATTTGTCTGTTAGATGTGCTCGAAGTGAGGTCAGTGAGTCGTGTGTGTGTCCAACATCACTATGGAGGTCCGCTGCTTATTGACTTTCTGGAACACNCTTGGTATTTTTAAAAGCCAACTCATATTGCAATTTTTAGTGATTGGAGAAATTTCAGTGTTACACATTTTAAAAATATTTTAATGTATTCAAATATTAAAGGCTTGTTTTTTTGATAAAATTAGTTTTAATTTTAATATTTACAAAAAAATATTAAATCTTACTATAATTAATTTCATTGACTCTAAAATTAGATGACAAAATTGGTATTATTAGAGAGAGAGAATAAGCAGAATAAGCAGACAAGAGGTATTTAAATACTTTCTTGTTTAATTTTTTGTTTCAATAGTGACTGTTTTTCTGTACTTAATGTTTATTAATATTTGTTCTTTTTATTAAACTATCTTTTGTATCCATTACAAAAAACTTTGTGTAAAATACGCCATTAAAAACCTTCTCTCTTTCTATAAAAGTTCTTTACGTCAACTAAACTACAATTTTTAATCATAAATTTTAATAAGTAAGAAAAAAAGTTTAAATTATATTTTAATATTAGAGGCAGTCAAATGAAAACAAGACAGACTATATAACAAGTGTGGCATGGAAGTTGGTCATGCAGGTAGGTGTGTATATAGAAGTGCCCTCTATTGGGAATTAGGAAGGACCAGCGTGAACGTTCACCGCTGTGCCATTTGTCTGTTAGATGTGCTCGAAGTGAGGTCAGTGAGTCGTGTGTGTGTCCAACATCACTATGGAGGTCCGCTGCTTATTGACTTTCTGGAACACAGCACCACGATTAATGCAAAGAAACTTTGCAAAAATTGAAGTGTGCCATCAAATCCAAACACCCAGGAATGTTGACAGATAGCATCATTCTGTTGAGGGATAATGCCGACCCATGTGTTACCAAGGTTGTTTTGACTACGCTGCTTACGAGGATGGTTGATCCCTCGACTACATACATAAAAGGTACTCTACTGCAAAGATCGATGATAAGCTGGCAAGAGCACTGGACTCTAAGTACAGTAGGTAGGCCAACCTATGCCTTTGTGCCTGTAGTTGGCCTCACTCCGATAAGTTGTTGCTCGTTGTCGACTCAAATCCTAACTGGCCATGGGAGGTTCTCCCACTTCAAGTCCAAGTTTGGACAAGGAGATGGTAGCTGCCCCTGTGGTAGTCCTCGTGGTGATGCGAGGCATTATGTACTTGACTGTCTCCTTACAAGGGACTTCCGCCTAGGGGCGGACCAAGTTGACTGGTCCAAGCCCCCTGAACAAGTACTTCGAACGCTAGCAGCTAGTAAAGGGAACCTAATGAAACTAAAGGAATTGATGGGAAAGATCATATATCTCTTCGATCTTTAGGTTTGGAAAGAACTGGTTTTGGTCCCCTCCCGTAGGGACGGGGGCCCCGTTGTCCATATACCTATTCATATAGGTATAAGTCTAAGTAATTAGTACATGTGTGAGCTGGAAAAGGTTTAGTAGTGTGGACCGTAAGTGCAGTACAGGCTGCACAAAACAAAAGTTATGCCAAGTTAGTGAGCTGGGCCGGGGTGCGGACGGGAGCCCGAATGAAATATCATAGGGCCCAGCTATGTCGTCCCTGTCTACTGTGTCAGGTACTGACCAGTCAATGAACAAGGCATAGTCTCTTTAACCCTGTAGTGCCAATAGGCGGGGCAGGGAAGGAGTTGCTTTATGAGACTGACTACGCTGCATAGTCCTTACACATTCTCCATACAGTCCCGATTTCTCCCCATGCGATTTCCATATTTTTGGAACCCCGAAGAAAGACATTCATGGCCGCAATTTGCTTCGGACAAAAAGGTGCATGCCTGGGTACAATCATGGTTCTGTAGGCAACCACAAACATTTTTCTATGAAGGCATTGACCATCTTGTCTCACAGTGGGATAAATTTATTAACAGTTATGGCAATTACTTTTGAAATAATAAACAGTTTACTTACTTTTTTCCCATCTGTCTTGTTTTCATTTGACTGCTCCTAATACATGCAAATTTTATCAAGGTTATAATTATTTATAAGCTCCTGTTACTTTAAAAAATTGTTTTTTCCAAATTAAAAAAAAAATAACAAAAAATAATGAAAGGTTGTGTTTAATGCAATTTTAGAGTTGTTATAGTATTATCAGAATAATTGCAAAGTCTTTAATGAAAATGTACTATATGAAGATTACAGCGCCACAGCACTGGCGAAAATTTAAATTTGTCGACTGGATTCCTTCGGAAAACCGACGTTCCGGATAAATGACGCTCTACTGTACTAGTAAGCCAAAATGCATTTCAATTGTACAGTCCTCTTCAGTTGGTTATAATAAAGATATAATTATTGCTAAAAACAAACAGATTTAACAAGTATCAAATTGCAATTGTTGTTAAAACAGCATAATCCAACAACTCTAATGCTTTTACAGAATACATATTATAAAATTTTTTAAACAATAAGTGGTCCAACATGCATTTCTTAATTCTCTAATATATAGATATTATGCAATATTCTTATGGGTTTCAGACATTCAAAATGCGTGAAGTATATCATTATATGGGTATAAATTACTTAAATTTAAGTACTGTTAAAAAAATTCAGCAATGAATTGCTTAACTTTTCCAGCAGCATTTAAAACTACATGTGTGGCACTATCTGTTATGATAATTTCTTTTGGAATTAGCACAAAGTTGCTGTTGAGAACAAATCACACAGGAACACTCGTTTTTAATGGAAAAAGTAGGTTTCTTTTCTATAATTTAGAAAGGATATGCATTTTTGACTTAATGCCCAGTGCAGTCCCTGATGGTGTTATGGAACTCGGTATCCTCTGTACGATCATCTTCCAGGCAGACAGTGTCCAGAATGTTGTTAATGGTGGTATTCAAGTCGGTGTTGTGCCTATAATCCATGAAAGGGTTGACAGGCAAGAATGGTGTTTAAGTTTATTCGCTCAGAGGTGGTATACAAAGCTCCATGGGTTGGTGTGGGCTGCAGAGCAGAATTTTCTCCAGGATGTTGTCTTTGCCTCCTTTATTGCCATTTTGTAATTTACTTGATATGTCAGGTATTGCTGCTTAAGGGTGTCTCTTTCTGAACCCCTGCTCCTTTGGAACTGCTTACGCAGCCTGTTGTTAATCGCTCTCATGTTGGCTAGGTCATTATTCCACCACAATACATCCATAGTGCTGTGTTTACGAAGTGGAATGGCTTTTCTGCAGGCTTTGTCGATTGCCTGAATAATGCTGTTGGCAGCATTAATGGCTGCATCCCTTGATGTTACCATGCCTGTAGTTGTTGTAAGTGTATCAAGTGTCTTGTAAAAATCCTCCCAGTTCGCTCTTCTTACATTGTAGCATTTAATGCTGTTTACGATAGGTTTGCCTGAACCAGCGCAGATGGAAAACTCAATCCCACTATGGTCAGAGAGACTATCGCTCTTGCAAACATGCCAGTCATGGATCCAAGTGTGGCTTCTAGTTGTGGCCAGAGTGATGTCAATCCAAGAGAACCCATTGGGTACCTGAAAGGTGGGGGGGAGTTGGGGTCATTGAGACAGAGCAAGACATTGGAGGCCAGAAGATCTTCAAAGGCCTTTCCTTCACCATCTAGTCGATCCCCACCCAAGGTTGGAGAGTGTGCATTAGAGTCACCTCCTATGACTAACTGTGCATGAGGGAAATTCTTGATGGATGCATCGAGGTTTTCCATGATGGAGTGGTAGTTATCCCCTTTTTGGCAGTATAAGCTACCAATAATGATGGTGTTATCCCCCAGCTTGGTCTCAACCCAAACCATTTTGTCATTGCTGGAGTGCTGGTAAAACAGAATGTGCAGTCTGTTTCTGGGGATGATGATGGTAGCCCATGGATAAGTATTGTGGGTCTAGATGACCAAGTGGGAATGTGGTAGGCCGGCGACTCTATTCTTAACATAATAGGGTTCCTGGGCAAGGATAAGGTCAAAGTTGTTAATAATTGTACAGAGGTGTGAAGTGGCATTAATTGAGCATTGTAAGTTAATCTGCAGAATTCTAATCATATCTGGTTCATTCCCCATAGTCGGTTCTTTGAACTAGTTGTGACTTCATCAAAAATTGTTTAGAACATTAATTTGTTTAACTTTATTTAGTAAATTAATTCAAAATATAATTTAGAGATTTCAATTATTCATCAAGCCTAACTCCCGAAATTATGCAGCCTTGACCTTGACCCTGAAAAGCATTAATACTAATTTTCAATAAAGTGAACTAATTACTGTTCTTCTAGCAATTCATATTAACATGAATTGACTGTATAACATTTTAAAACCTGATTTTTTTTAAAAATATATATATATATATATTTTTTTCAGTTAAATATTGTTATCTGTTTGTGTGTGTTGAAATTCATTCACTAATTCATTTTGTGCATTAATTAATAACAAATAGTTATTGAAACCATTACTTAATTTATTTTGGTAAATTTATTCTTTATTTATAAATTAAGAATATTCTAAATGGGATTAATAATAATAATAATATTTAACTTTTTTGTTGGTATTCGGATTATACTATACCACTCAGGTTATGATAGCTATAAAAAGAGAATAATCACACTTTGATTACTAATTCATTGACACTTATACTACTACAGTAGAGTACAGTAGTTATCCGAATCAATTGGGGACTGGGGTTGTTCGGATAACTTATTTTTCGGATAATCAATTATGTACGGAAAAATATATTAATTTNAATTATTTTTTTGCAAAAAATTATTATTAAGTTTTTTAAACAATTAATTACAAATTATCATCAGATGAGTTAATTATAATTTTTATTTACTCTTTTCACAGTTCTTCCAACTGTTAAATTGTCACTTGTTTGCTAAATCTGTAAATTTGTCATGAAGTCCAAGTATTCTTGTGCCTTTCCTGGTGGTTATTTGTTATAATTTATTTTGTATAGAAAAAATATCATGGAGAAAATATATCTGGTAAGCAATGTTTTTAGGTTTGATATATAAAATATAATGTAATGTTTTTAAAATATTTTTGTTTGTTAATAAAATATAACTGGAAAATATTTTGATGATAGCAATATTAAGATTTTATGAAATCAAGCTTTATTTATTTTTTATAAATAAATTATTAAATCCCCGTTTTGAGAAAATAAATTAAAAAGAAAACTTTGATAAGTGGCCTTTACACACATATGTTTGACTGTATAATTTACATGCCATATAGGTAGGTGCATGTGCAAAGGCATTCATATGAAGCTAAATCTGGAGTCAGTTATATAAGCATGTCTTATGGACTCAACTGTTCTCAAATTTACACATACATATCTAACTGCAAAAAGCAACCATGGCAGATTTTCATTGCTGGATGAGAGAATTTGTAACTGATTTTAAAAATTTGTATAAAGATCTTCTTTCTTTATGGTGTGTCAAAAGTAAGGAGTATTCCAACAAAAGTATGAAAAATGAGACCAGCAAATGCCTACAACAGCATCTATACTCTTTCACTGAAGTTTAGTGGTGCTTTGTTTTATTTTTTGGCTGTTAAGTACTACATATATTCTAGCAATAAATAATCGTGGCCGACAATAGCACAGACACGATTATTTATTTGCACTTGTAACATGGCTGACTTGATTAGGATGTGATTACATTTGAGGATTTGAGGATGTGCACCAAAATGTTTGAAATGTTTAATATTTCACATGTTATTCAGTTGGGTGAGAATATGCACTGTCTTGCGTTACATGTGCACTCCTGCATGGTACCATTCTTAACATAGGAAAGCACATGAGTAAAAATGTGTTGTGTTGGGTATTGTAATTACACTCCACATTCTTGAGTGTAATTACAATAGAGCATTGATTATTTGAAACATTGGGATTGTTCGGATAAGTGATTTTTCAAATAACTGATCATTTAAAAAAATATATATACACAAAACTGTATTGTATATAATTTGTATCATATGTCTTACAAATATTAATACATACCTTACATAATGTAATACATTAGGATTGTTCGGATAAGTGATTTTTCAAATAACTGATCAAACAAAAAAATATATATATTAAACTAATTAATGGGATTCTGATATACTTAATGCAGAAAAAGTTCGAGATTATACTCACGACGGATTGGAATTCGGATAGCTCGCATTAGATCCTACCAGAAATTGCTAAAACGTTCGAACTGCGTTTGCAGTAGAGANAATATATTAAACACAAAACTGTACTGTATATATTTTGTATCATACGTCTTACAAATACATATCTTATATAAAGTAGTACATTAAAGTAGGCCTACAGTTTAGGTTGGCATGGAGGGAAAGAGTGCTGCAGCGCCACAGAACTAGCAGAAATTTGAATTTGCTGACTGGAACACTTTCGGTTAATCTATGTTTCAGTTGATTCATATTTGGATAATCGATGCTCTACTGTATTTTACTTCCATCTCTACATGTGGGCAGGAATGGTCTGCTCAGTTGTGCATTTAAGAATGTACGACATATAAAGGCTTCTATTGAATTTTTCAGCAAGACAAGTGATTTTATCATAGAATGACAGTTAAAGCTGAAACATTGATTAAAGTGATTCAAAGAAATTAGCCAGAATTAATAAATATAAAGTTTATTTTCTTAATAAAAAATGTGTGATAATATCATTCAAGGCTTCATTCTATATTTAATTAAAATATGAAATGAAATTTTTAAAGTATTTTTTTCATTTCTATAAAGTGTATTTAATTATGAAATATATAATGTTTGAAAAATTCTGAAAAATAATTTGTCTATTTCTGCAACAGCAGGTAAATGCAGATCTATATACAGAATATGCTATGCAAAATCTTTTTCCAATTTGTTAAGATACTTGTGTGTGAATTACATTTATGTTTTATACATTATTTTGAAACTTAATATATATTAGTCTTACTGCATCTATTTTGATGTTTAATACTTTTATTTAAAATACAGTAATTAAAAGTGAAAATATGCTTAATTTTGCTCTTGCTATAGTGGCACTTCCCTTATCATTCCTGCTTTTGAATGTACTCTACCTTTGTCCAGTGTAAAAATTCTTCTGCAAATAACTTCTCAAGTTGATATTCTTTTATTGATTTCTGAATATTTTTTAATTTCATGTTATTAACAGAAAGAAAATTGTAAATTAAATTTTGGTCAGAAGGACAGACATCATTTATTTTGAATAAAATGGCACCCAAGAGAAGAATTCTTAACATAGATGAGAAAGAAATGAAAAACTATGTTTGACTAAATGTTGTTAACTTAATTTACATGAAGAAATGAATACCTAACCATAAAGATATTTACACAAAAAATGTTATATACCTAAAAATTTTGTCTTGCAAATACATTTATTTATATGAAATTTATTGATAGTTTTTATTTTCCCTATTTATTTGAAATTTAACAACAGTTTCTTATGGGAAACATTTTGCTGGGTAGAACTAGTTGATATTTTAATTTGCTAATGTTTTAGTACTAAATGTTTATAGGAGTAGAAAAATCATATTTGTGGTTAAGTAAATCAACACATTGACTGCCAACCTATTATTGCTGAAATTATTGTTTTGTTACCATTTTGATTTTGTATATTTTACCATGTAAATTTTTTCATATTTTTAAAAATACAGTCAAACCTCAGGTTACAAATGCTGATGTTTATGAACAATTTGGTTTATGAGTAAAATTTTGAATGCCATATTTGCTCTAGTTGCTGTACAATAACTTGGTTTCTGAATGAGCTAATTGGCCGAGCTGGCCACCAATGGTCAACTTCCTATGCTAAAGAAAGCAGCCTGACTAATCAATGACAGAATTACTGATTCAGTATTGGCACCAAGATTCACCTCGTGTTATTAGATGTCACAACATGAACAATTGATGACATTATTCAAATTAGATTTCAATGCACATGTGTGTAAGATACTGCTTCCAGTTTTTTAAATGCACTACAATTAGATTTAAATCAAATTAATTAATAAAAACTGTGTTAATTGACATTTGTGTAATATAAATGACATCCAGTAATTCATATTTAAAGGTGCTTAACTCAAATTAAATAACAAAAATTTATTAAATATATATATTTTTTTATTTCTCATTAGTACATAGTCAGCATTTGGCATTATATTTAACAGTATTAATTAAATGCAAGAACTTTTAATGAACATCTTTTA